TAAGGCTGATGTTTCCTTACTGATTTTCTGCCTGAGCGATCTGTGCATTGATGAAAGTAGGGTATTAAACATTACCATTTCTTCCTTTACGTCTTTTAATATTTACTTTATATATGTAGGTGCTCCTACATTGGGTGCATAAATATACAAATGTTACATCTTTTCAGACTGACTCCTATATTACCATATAATGCCCTTCTTTGTCTCTTATTACAGTCTTTATTTAAAAGTGTATTTTGTCTGATATAATTGCAAGTACACCAACTTTCATTTGGTTTCCAACTTATTTTCCATCCCTGAGACTCTGATCTAAGTGTGTTTTAGACAATATATAGATGAGTTTTATTTTTTATCCATTCAGCCACTTTGTCTTTAGATTTGAGAATGTACTCCATTATATTTAATTATTGATAGATAGTTGTTGATATTTCCTTAATTGCTTTCTGGCTGTTTCGTCATTCCTCTGTTTCTTTCTTCTCTTGTTCTCCTTTGCGATTTGATTACTTTCTTTAGTGGTATACTTAGTTATTTTTCTCATCTTTTGTATATCTATAGGTTTTTGCTTTGTGGTTACTATAAGGCATACATATAACAACCTATACTTTAGTTTGATCACATTCTAAAGCTCTATATTTTTACACCTTCCCCAAAATGTGTTTTTGATGTCACATTTTGTATTTTTATCTTGTGTATCCCTTAAGTAATTGTTTTAGTTATAGTTATTTATATTTCTTTTGTCTTTTAGCCATCACGCTAACTTTGTAAGTGATTAATCTACTTCCTTTATTATACATTTTCATTTACTAGTAAGATTTAGTATATCTTTCAACATTTTCAAGCTAGTATATATTTTCAAATAATTTATTGTTAATTAGTATCTTTTATTTTCAGTTTCAAGAAGTCCCTTTAACATTTTTTGTAAGGCCAGTTCAGTAATGATAACCTCCTCTAGCTTTTTACTTGTATAGAAAACTCTCTCTCTCCTTCAATTATGAAGTGCAACTTTGCTGGATAGAATATTTTTGGTTTGAATTGATTTTTTTCTTTCAGCACTTTGACTATATCATACCACTCCATTCTGTCCTCCAAAGTTCCTACTGAAGAATCTGCTGATAGCCTTATGAGGTTTTCCTTGTATGTAACTAGTTGTTTTTCTTTTGCCATTTTTAATATTCTTTGTCTTCAACTTTTGACACCTTAGTTATAATGAGTCTCAGTGTGGGTCTCTTTGGGTTCATCTTATTTTGTTATGTCTAGGCTTCCTGGATCTGGATGTCTATTTCCTTCCTCAGGTTTGGGACATTTTCAGCCACTATTTCTTCAAATAAATTTTCTGCCCTTTTCTCTTGTCTTCTGTGACCACTTTAAAGTAGTTTTTACTATGCTTGATGTTGTTCTGTAAATCCCTTGAGCTAACTTCGCTCTTTTTCATTCAGTTTTGTTTCTGCTGCTCTGACTGGGTGAGATCCACTGCCCTGACTTTGAGTTCACTGATCCTTTCTTTTACTGTTTAACCCCTCTAGTGTATTTTTCAATTCAGTTAATGTAGCCTTAGGTTTTGTGACTTCTAGTTGGTACTTTTATTTTCTATCTATTTTTTAAAGTTATCACTGTGTTTATATATTCTTCTCCCTAGTTTGGTTAGTATTTTTATGACCATTACTTTGAATTCTTTATTTAGTCATGTACTTATCTCTGTTTTATTAAGGTTTTTTCCTGAGGTTTTCTCCTGTTATTTTAAATATATTCTTCTATATCCTCATTTTGGTTGACTGTCTTTATCTCTGTGTATTAGATGAAACAGCAGCCTCTCTCAGTTTTGAAGAAGTGGACTTGCGGAGAGGAATCTTGCTGTTCAACCTTGCCCTAGCTCCTGATTTTCTCTCAAATCTTTGTGATTCTGAAAACAGCCTTTTAAAAAATGGTTCCCCATTTTTGAGGTTGTTCCAAGATCCATCAGTGACCCAAAAGGGGTAATCTCAGTCAATACCTAAATTCAGGCTGACTGGAAGCCAGATCCTTAGGCAGCAGCTTTTAAAGTAGGCAAATATGTAAGTCTGGTGAGACTACAAGTGTAAGCCCTGCTGGCCATCAGACCAGTGGTCTGAAAGTGTTGCCTTGGAAACTCACAAAAAATCAGGGCTCCAGATGGGTGTATAAGCTTCTTTCCAGGAGGCACTGGTATGGTGTATTGAGGTTGATGGAGGGCACAAAGATAGCATCCTTTGGCCAACATTTTTTATAACAAGCATGTAGTCCTCTAGATGTGTGCCATACCTGAAACTTGATCCTCAGTCAAAATCTCCAGGGCAAGCAAATAGCTCTCTTTAACAAGACTTTGGGTGTGTTTCAGTCTGCTATCTGCATAGTGACCTAGGGGTTGTAGCTTGTCAAGAACTGTCTTTCTGATTTTGCACACACAGTGGTGTCTGTCACAGAAACTGGGTCACCAGACATGTGCAAGAGCTCCTTTCCAAGATACTGGCAGTCGGAAGCATGCCAGAGGGAGAGCACAAATTAAATGTGTGTTCAATTGAAAGTCTGTCCAGGCTGCATCTCTGGTGATAACTTTATAGTTCTCTTTCACATAAAGACTGAACTCCTGGATAAATTTCCTCTTGTTGTGCCCTGATGGTGGTAGCTGTTTGAGAACACTTTATCCATTGGTTACAGTCATGTGGGGACACTTAAGCATAAGCCACACTGTCCACAAGATCCAGGCAATGTAAAGATGTATCTTGGCAGAAGCTGTAAAATTTGAGGCACTAGACTAGGGTACAAATTCCTATCTGGGAGATATTGACAAGCTGGGACAAGTCAGAGGGAAAGTGAAAAGTACACATCCACCAGCTCCATCGTCCAGAACTGTGCCAGACCAGAAATTTGACTGCCACACCAAAGCTCCTAGAGCAGCAAATAGGCCTGTTTCTCAGAAATACTGTTTCAGTCTGCTATATGTTCAGTGTCCTGGGGGTGGCAGTCTGCTGAGAGCTGTCTGATTTTTACAGTCCCATGGGAATCAGGAATACAAGCCCCCCTGACTTCCAGAGCCAGGGGACCAAAGGACATCCCCTGGGTGGCAGCTGCAGAAACTGGGAAACCAGACATATGTTAAAGCTCTCCTCAGGAGATATTGGTGCTCTGCAGAGCGTGATAGAGGAAAAGCACAAAGATGGCACCCACCATGAGAAAAAGTGTTCTAGATTTAATAAAAACAGCTGTTGGCTTTAGCAATGCAGAGAGAGTACAAAAATGGTGGTCAACAGTACCTTTGTCCTTGGAGAGTATTATATGTGCCTCAGGCCAGTGCTTTAAGATTAGTAAATAAATCTCTTTCACATAAAGTTTGGGCACTTTCCAAACAATATCTTCTGTGCTGGTCCCTGAGATAACTGAGTCTGTGTACAACCCTTTAGGAGACATTTCTCAGTTCACCATATCCCTTTGTGTCTCCTGGACAGGAGCCCTGTTGTTTTTCAAAGTCCACTGTTTTAGGGGCTCATCTCTCAAAGACAAGTCTTTAAAGTTGGTTTGCCTAATGTGGGGCACAAACTCTTTTATTTTCAGGATAAAGCTCTTGGATTGTGTGTTCCTTCCTCATTGTGGATCACCATACCACATGTGGGGCTCATAACAAGGCTATTTTTCAGCCTCTCTTACCCACCTAAATATGGCCCTTTTATTATTTACTGCTGTAAAGGAGCTACTAGGCTTGTTTTTAGGTCTTTTTCAGGAGAAATTGTTCTATATCTGTAGATTTGACATGTCTGTGGGAGGAGGTCAGTTCGGGAGTTTTCTTTGTCATCATGTGGACCACTTCTCAAAAAACAACACATTTATAATGGTAGGCAATCCTACTGTAACAAATAAGAGTCTCTTAAAGTGGTAAATGTGGTAGAGATATCAAAGGGACTCTAAGATAGAGAGTATGGGTTATAACCTACATTTATTGACTACATATAAGGTTGCCATATAGAATACAAGATGCTGTTTTAAATTTTAATTTCAGGAAAAACAATTATTTAGTATAAATGTTTCCTCAATAATGCATAACATAACCAGGATACATTTAATGAATTATTCCCAGCCAAATAATTTAAAAAGAAAAATTATAAATCTTTCAAGTATTTATAGTAAAAATTTAATATTTAATGAGTAATATGATTACATTTGAGTATGTTTGATATGATTTGGGATGGGAATCAGCAGAAGACCTTGGACCTAAGGTTTTGCATGGGTGTGGATGGATAAGGTTTTGCATGGGGTGAAAGGGCCATGGATAATTTTAAAGGGGAGTAAAGGGAAGAATGAAGCTGTGTGTGTGTATGTCAGTTTGTATGGGGTAGTCAGGGAAGGCCTCTCTGATAAGATGATATTTTGGCTTACTTGTTCTTCATCTTCTGATTTACAATCACTAAGGAAACAATCAGTAAGGGACAAATTCTTGTCCTCAGTCTTTTGAAAAGAATGCTTTATCAACGCAATCTTGCTGCCCTGGTTCATATCTATTCTTATCAAACAGGCCAAATAGCAGCCCTGAGGTCTGTGAAGAAAACCTTTCTCCTACTGCATGGGTATTGTATACTTCCTTATTATAAATGTGTGACTACCTGCTGTACCTCTTAGTAAATATCTGCTACAATAATATTAAAATCATATCCACAGGGATGCATTTTTTTAAAGCAGTTCGTATACATAATCTTATTTGAAGCTCACATAATCCTTGGAGATAAGGCATTATTTTCTTCACTAATCAGGTGAGAAAACTGGGGTGATTGATACTTCCTCCTTTAAGGCACCTGTAATAGAATTGTTAACTTTAAGATTCTGAAAGACAAGGAATATGTGTTATCCAACATTTATATTCCTAACAGCCAGCAGAGTCCATAGTCCACACTTAATAAATGATGAGTAAATGAAAAAGTCAAGCTTCATATTGGAGATACTAAAAGGCGAGAAAAGCATTACCCAGAAATAAATTATAAATTCTGACTTTGCAGGTACACACCATGAGCCAGCACTTCTTCTACAAGTCTCAAGGTAGGTTTTACTATTCCTTTTCCAAAAATGAAGAAATTGAAATCCAGAGATGTAAAGAAGCTCATTAAAGTTCACAAAGCTAGTAAATAATTAAGCCAGAGTTGGGAACGAGGAGCATCTGATTCCAAAAACCTTGTTCATTCCACTTCTCCATGCTGCCTCTCCTGAAATCTAACTAAACTGAGCAAAAGGCCAAGAATGAAATTTTAAAATATCAGGACATACTCAGGAAAAGAACATGCTGTTGGCCAGTGATCAGAATAAAGCCTTTGAATTAATGGTGGAGTATAGGTCATAGAGTCTTAAAGTAAACAGAGAGAAGCAAGAGTGAAATCAGAGTACATAGTAGGTCACCCAGGAAAATGAGTGCGGGCAGGAGATTAGTGTCCAAGACTTAGACCCAATAAAGAGCACAGATTGTAACCAAGTTCTTAAGGAAAGGGACAGATCCCAGAGAAGGATCCTAAGCAGGAAGGTATGGGGAAAGCATGAGCCAGTATGCTGAGATCTGGATCAAAGAAGAGGTCACATGCTGAATTGAAATTTAATTATACAAAATAGTCACACCACCACTTTAAATTTACCCTTGACTTTCTAATCACCTACACACTCCATGCCATAAAATATGACTTTATTATCTCATTTAATCCTTACAGCAAATGCATTTTCATATACACGGAGAAACACTTTTGAATTATCTAAAGATATTTTATTTCAGTGTTAAGAATTTGGTGGTCATCTTATAGGCATACTATTTGAATGATCAGACATATGAATATACACAATCTTTCCTTTAATCTAGTCAAGTGTTTCTCAAACCTTCAAGTACATGTATGTTATTGTATAGGGCTATATTCACAAAACCATACATACTGTGCTTAATGGTTGAGCAAATTTGAAAGGTAATTGTGATTCATATGCTTTTGCATTTTGCATGCAGATTTTATTACCTTACCACCTTATTATCCAGAATCCACATTCAGTAAATATACTGAATGTGAAGACACTGGCAAACACAGAAACAAGGAATAAGGAGACCAAACAGGAGGCTATAGGCGGAGACAGATTACAGGGCATGGTTTACACTTAAAAGTTTAAACCAACATTGACACAAGACAGCACTGAAATAGCAAAGGCCACAAAAATAATGACGGGACTAAATTCAGAGTTCCACTTTGGGCAAGAGAGTACTTCTACACAAAGAATATTAGACTACAGAAATAGAGTTGGTTTACATTGCCTTGTATTACAAATCTACTCATTTGCAATTCCTTTTGGTCCTGGAAGCTTACTTTATCTTGCCTTTCTCTGTATCCATGTTCCTACACACTTATGTATTTTCTCTGTTTTGCTGCCACAATCCCCCTGATGCAGAATTCATCCCCTTTGCTCGTTTCCACAAGAAATTCACTACAAGTATTTTGTGAGTTTTTGAGGCTCTACTAAGAATTATTCTGAGTATTATAAGGAGATTTATATACTATCCTGCTAGATCCAACCCCTCCCACTGCACAGATACATTCCAATTTTCTCTACCTTTCTCTTTTCTCTTTCTTCTAATCTCCAAGGTCACCCATATGGAAGACTTGAAGAGACTGAGCATCTATTAGTAAGGGTCAAACACATTTGAAAACATCCAAGAACTTGATGCTAATTCTTAGATTAAAAAGTGTATCACACTGGGAGATCTTGCCATAAAGTTGAGCCAGTGAGCTTCATAAAAAAAGAATGATTCCAATGGGATTATTGTGAAAAGATGCCAAATCATCAGCCTCTCTGGAAAAATGTGTTATTCCATGCCCAAGGCCCACAGCCTATTCATTGACAGAGAACAGGAAATAAAGCTGTTGATCCAATTTCGGGACACATAATGTGACAAAGCCAGATAAAATATGGGAGATGTGGTTTAGGTGTGTAGTTTTAGGAATTTCTAAGGCCTTTCAGTAATTTGAGGGGACACACAGGGTAGGATATCTTAAATTGGGACTATAGCTAAAAATTTGGGACATGTGGTCAATACAGGGTCTATGATAAGAGTAGGATTTGGAATTACAGAGACTTCCAAGTAGTCAGTGAGGAGAATCATAATGAGGCTCTTATTTCTGGCACTCTATCTGAGGTCAGGGTTCAAGATTATGAGCTCTGAGACAGATGTCAAATTTAGATTAAAATTTAGATAAAAAGTCTAGACACCCGAGCATAAGAAGCTGACTTGGGTAACAACAACAACAACAACAATAAGAAGTAGTAACTGAGTATCCCCTTCTGGTTGGGAGGAACCAAAGAACTAATTCTGGCCAACAGGTTTGAGCTGAAGTATGTATCAGTCTGAATAGAGTTTGAGCTCCTCCATAGTATCCCTACTCAAACTGTCCACCTCAGAGATTATATAATCACATATAAAAAATGGAACTTCCTCATTTGCCAATAAATTGGACAAACTAGAAGAAATGAATAAATTCACAAAACATACAGTATTCCAAGACAGAATCAGGAAGAAATGGAAAATCTGGATAGCCAGATTACTAGTAATGAAATTGAATCAGAATATAAAAACAAAGCAAAAATGAAGGAACAAAACAGCATTAGACTCATAGACACTGAGAAGTGACTAGTGGTTACCAAGGGGGATAGGTTGGGGTGAGTGGTGGGGGAAGGGTGAGGAGGATAAAGGGACACAGTAATTTGCAATCACAATATAAGTTGATCATGGGGACAGTTAAACTACTGTGATGTACATTTGAAACTAACATAAGATTGTATATTAATGGACACCTCAATAGAAAAATAATAATGACCCAGGCTACCACCCAATTTTTACAAGAATATAATAAGAAAATATTATTAATCAGATTTAAAAGACCAAAATCCAATGGTGGAGGGGCGGAGCCAACATGGTGGTGTGAGTAGGACAGTGGAAATCTCCTCCCAAAAACATATATAGTTTTGAAAATACAACAAATACAACTAATCCTAAAAGAGAGACCAGAAGACACAGGACAACAGCCAGACTACATCTACACCAGCGAGAACCTAGTGCCTGGTGAAAGGGGTAAGATACAAGCCCTGGCCCGGTGGGACCTGAGCACAACTCCCCCCAGCTCCTGGCAGGAGGGAGAGGGAGCCCAGGACTGCTAAACACCCAGCCCCAGCCACCCGCATCAGAGCGCAGACACAGTGCATGCGTGGAGGGCTGGAAACTAGGGAAATAGGGCAGCAAGACCTGTGAGCGGTTGCCAAAGCTGATGCCCCTGTGACAAAGAAGAGTGAGGGCTTTTTGAAAGTCTTAAAGGGACAGGGATTTAACAGCTAGACAGAAACAACACAGGTCACAGCCCAGCTGGAATACAGGGAAAACTGGGAGCACTAACACCCTGGGCAACAGCTCTGAGACCCCTCACGGAGGTAAACAGCCAAACGGTGCCCCCCCCACCCCGTCCATTACCCCTCAGGGCGCTGAGAAAGCAGAGAAACAGCCTAAGGCAAAACATGCCCACAGAAAGGCAGAAAGGAAAATTCCTACACTTCGGCAGGGCAAGACACAAAGACCCACCCTAGACACAATTACACAACACAAGCAAATAGGGGTCGCAGTTGTCCCAGTAAAGAAAGGCCAGGAGCAAGTGAAAAGCTTGGCCCTCCCAGCTGACAGTCAATAGCACCTGTCAACATGAAAAGGCAAAAAAATATGATACAGACAAGACTAACCCAGACAGCTTCGGCATCTGCTACATCTTCCCCTGAGAAGGAACCTGGGGAGATAGATTTAGCCAGTCTTCCTGAAAAAGAATTCAAAACAAAAGTCATAACCATGCTGATGGACTTGCAGAGAAATATGCAAGAACTAAGGAAGGAGAATACAGAAATAAAAGAAGCTCTGGAAGTACTTCAAAACAGAATGGACGAAATGCAAGAGACCATTAATGGTCTAGAAAACAGAGAACAGGAATGCAGAGAAGCTGATGCAGAGAGAGATAAAAGGATCTCCAGGAACGAAAGAATTCTAAGAGAGCTGAGTGACCAATCGAAAAGGAACAATATACACATTATTGGGATACCAGAAGAGAAGAGAGAGAAAAAGGGATAGAAAGTCTCTTTGAAGAAATAATTGCCAAAAACTTACCCAAACTACGGGAAGAAATGGCTTCTCAGACCACAGAGGTACACAGAACTCCTATGACAAGGGACCCAAGGAGGGCAACACCAAGACACATAATAATTAAAATGGCAAATATCAAAGACAAGCACAAAGTATTAAAGGCAGCCAGAGAGAAAAAAAAGGTTACCTACAAAGGAAAACCCATCAGGCTATCATCAGACATCTCAACAGAAACCCTACAGGCCAGAAGAGAATGGCATGATATACTTAATGCCATGAAACAGAAGGGCCCTAAACCAAGAATACTGTATCCAGCAGGAATATCATTTAAATATGAGGGAGGGATTAAACAATTCCCAGACAAGCAAAAGCTGAGGGGATTTGCCTCCCACAAACCACCTCTTCAGGGCATCCTACAGGGACTGCTCTAGATGGGAGCACTCCTAAAAAAACCACAGAACAAAACACCCAAAATATGAAGAAGGGAGGAGGAGGAATAAGAAGGGAGAGAAATAAAGAATCATCAGACCATGTTTATAATAGCTCAACAAGTGAGTTAAGTTAGACAGTAAGATAGTAAAGAAGCTAACCCTGAACCTTTGGTAACCACAAACTTAAAGCCTGCAATGGCAATAAGTTCATACCTTTCAATAATCACCCTAAATGTAAATGGACTGAATAGACCAATCAAAAGACACAGAGTAATAGAATGGATAAAAAAGCAAAATCCATCCATATTCTGCTTACAAGAGACTCACCTCAAACCCAAAGACATGCACAGACTTAAAGTCAAGGGATGGAAAAAGATATTTCTTGCAAACAACACAGAGAAGAAAGCAGGTGTTGCAATTCTGGTATTAGACAAAACAGACTTCAAAATAAAGAAAGTAACAAAAGACAAAGAAGGACATTACATAATGATAAAGGGCTCAGTCCAACAAGAGGATATAACCATTCTAAATATATATGCACCCAATACAGGAGCACCAGCATATGTGAAGCAAATACTAACAGAACTAAAGAGGGAAATAGACTGCAATGCATTCATTGTAGGAGACTTCAACACACCACTCACCCCAAAGGATAGATCCACCGGGCAGAAAATAAGTAAAGACACACAGGCACTGAACAACACACTAGAACAGATGGACCTAATAGACATCTATAGAACTTTACATCCAAAAGCAACAGGATATACATTCTTCTCAAGTGCACATGGAACATTCTCCAGAATAGACCACATACTAGCTCACAAAAAGAGCCTCAGTAAATTCCACAATATTGAAATTCTACCAACCAATTTTTCAGACCACAAAGGTATGAAAGTAGAAATAAATTCTACAAAGAAAACAAAAAGGCTCACAAACACATGGAGGCTTAACAACATGCTACTAAATAATCAATGGATCAATGAACAAATCAAAATAGAGATCAAGGAATATATAGAAACAAATGACAACAACAACACTAAGCCCCAACTTCTGTGGGATGCAGCGAAAGCAGTCTTAAGAGGAAAGTATATAGCAATCCAGGCACACTTGAAGAAGGAAGAACAATCCCAAATGAATAGTCTAACATCACAATTATTAAAACTGGAAAAAGAAGAACAAATGAGGCCTAAAGTCAGCAGAAGGAGGGACATAATAAAGATCAGAGAAGAAATAAACAAAATTGAGAAGAATAAAACAATAGCAAAAATCAACGAAACCAAGAGCTGGTTCTTTGAGAAAATAAACAAAATAGATAAGCCTCTAGCCCAACTTATTAAGAGAAAAAGAGAGTCAACACAAATCAACATAATCAGAAATGAGAATGGAAAAATCACGACAGACTCCACAGAAATACAAAGAATTATTAAAGACTACTATGAAAACCTATATGCCAACAAGCTGGAAAACCTAGAAGAAATGGACAACTTCCTAGAAAAATACAACCTCCCAAGACTGACCAAGGAAGAAACACAAAAGTTAAACAAACCAATTACAAGCAAAGAAATTGAAACAGTAATCAAAAAACTACCCAAGAACAAAACCCCGGGGCCGGACGGATTTACCTCGGAATTTTATCAGACACACAGAGAAGACATAATACCCATTCTCCTTAAAGTGTTCCACAAAATAGAAGAAGAGGGAATACTCCCAAACTCATTCTATGAAGCCAACATCACCCTAATACCAAAACCAGGCAAAGACCCCACCAAAAAAGAAAATTACAGACCAATATCCCTGATGAATGTAGATGCAAAAATACTCAATAAAATATTAGCAAACAGAATTCAACAGTATATCAAAAGGATCATACACCATGACCAAGTGGGGTTCATCCCAGGGATGCAAGGATGGTACAACATTCGAAAATCCATCAACATCATCCACCACATCAACAAAAAGAAAGACAAAAACCACATGATCATCTCCATAGATGCTGAAAAAGCATTTGACAAAATTCAACATCCATTCATGATAAAAACTCTCAGCAAAATGGGAATAGAGGGCAAGTACCTCAACATAATAAAGGCCATATATGATAAACCCACAGCCAGCATTATACTGAACAGCGAGAAGCTGAAAGCATTTCCACTGAGATCGGGAAC